GAATAATTGATGGCAAATTATAATCGACATAAATTCACATTCTTTTCTGAGGACCCATTTTGGTACGTAGTGGTGTCGTTATTGACATATTGACTGGGCACCCAAACACACACAAATGCGAAACATCAGGCTTGTATCCAGTGACCAACTATAATGGTGAAAGAGACTGGGTAGTGGTGGGCTTCAAGCATACCAACATAGATGCATGTAGAATTGCATAGCCCTAGGCAGATAACGGCAATTTGGTTCCCATAACCAAAGTCCGAGCTATCGATTGCGCTTTATGAAAGCTTCTATTGTACCGTTTTCAGTATGAACATGGGGTACAATATGCTCAACTTCAATCCCAATTGACATGCAATAATCATCAGAGGACCGTGACGTAAACTTTCTAGCATAATCTAGTCAAATTTACTAAATCATATAATCAAGGTGGTGAGCCCTAAGCTTAATGATTTGAGCTAAGAGTTTTGCAAAAGCAGCGTTGCGTGTGGACATTAAGTGGACATATGAGCAACGTGTCAATGCATCAACCAACACCATGAAGTATCTAAATGGTCCGGATGTTGGTTGGATAGGTCCTGAAATATCCCCTTGAATCCTTTAAAGAAACTTTGGAGGGTTCTAATTAATCTTTATAGATGAAGGTTGAGTGCTCAACTTCCCCAAGTGGCATGCTTTGCAAGTCGGGTATCCAATAAGAGGTTATATGATACCCGTGTGAAGATTTGAAGATATGGCGCATCATATCTCGTTTAGAATGTCCCATCCGGTCATGCCAAGACAGCAAAGGGTCTAGAACCCGAGCTTAGGGTCGTCCACGTGATAGGTCTCTATGGCTCTAATGGTTGTGATGTACAACCCACTCGAAAAACATTCCAACTTCTTGTGAATACATTTCTAGCCATATTCGTAAGAAATGATTAGAATCATTTTCTTCAGTGGTTTCAATATGATATTTATTATCTCGGATATCTCTAAAACTTAGCAACGTTTTTCCGAAACGAGGAGAATATAAGGTATTTTTATGGTTAATTCAATACCATTAGACAACATTATATGAGCCTTTATGTATTGTTCCATCAGGTTAGATGAACTTGAGAGAGTTGTCAAAGGTGCATTTTTAGGTACGAAGTTAGTAAGATAGTGTTGCTCACAAAAGATGGTGTGTTGTAGCACTATCAGCCAGACAACTAACTTCCCCACTAGTCATACCTAGAAATAAATTAATTGAATCGATCACATGCATATATATATAATTTTGTTCATTCAATTAATCAATTGAGAATAATATCCATGACATAATTATCCATAATTCAAAACAAACCAAACCAAACAAGTTATTCCATAGTGGGTTCGATAACTAAGGGTAAAAACCACCTGAACATGTCTAGAAAAATAAACTTCATTCTTCCATAGGAGTGGATGCCGCCTGAAAATTTGAAACCTCTATAGTTGTGGTAGTATCGTCAGGATGTTCCACATGTGCAAAGTTTGACTTGTGACAGGAATGATACTTGGCAATAGCCTCATGGGTAGCTCAACATACACGTGACCAATGGTCCATTGATCCACAATGGTAGCACATGTCCAATGTAGTGGAATTCGATTAAATGGTAGCTTTTCCCTTGTTCTTGAAGTTAGAGGCCTCCCTTGGCCAGGCCTTTGCTTTGTTGACCTTGGACCCGTGGCTGGAGTTGCCGCCCATTAATATATATCCAAGTGGTTATATTTGTATAGCTTTTAGGAACCTATTTTATTTATGACATTCTTGAATTTAGGTCTCGTTTCATATAAAGGATCAAATTAAAGGGGACTAAACATGAATGAAATTTCTCCTTTCATCCTACCATTTTAGGAATGATTGTAGTGAATAATGGCTAGTTTGGTATTGTTGTGCTTAAAAAGATAAAAAAATAAAAAAATAAACTGCTTCTACTGTGATGTGAGAATAAACAGCTGTAAAATAAAATATTGTTGAGTGTTTGGTAAACTTTTTTTTTTTTTGTAAAATTGCTTATAGCAAAAAAAAAAAGTTTGGTAAACTTTTATATAAAATTGTTGTGAATATGCTAAATGACTAAAAAATATATGATATTTAATGTGATATAATAATTGCTAAAGAGAATAATGTAAGGGTAAATATTGTAATTTTGTAAAATTTGGTGGGTATACTTGTCATTTGAAAATTTCATTAAATTGGCACTGATCACTATGTTTAAAAAAAAAAACAATTTTGTTATAAGCATAGTAGGTTCTACTTCTGCTTTTCTACTATTATTGACATCAGTTTTTAAATTTTTTTTTTTTACCAAACATATTTGATGTTCCAGATTTTTTTTATATGTTGCTTTAAAAAAAAAAAAAAAAAACACCACAATCCCAAATCAGCCCTAAGTTGTCTTATTGATTCCTACTTCCTAGTTGGCCACAATGTTTTCAATTTTTCTTTCAACATACCTTGAAATGTTTTATGCATTTCAATCCAATCCTTAGCACCAAACGCTTCTTGGTCTTTACATATCCTGCCAACATATTTAGCAAGGGGATGGAGAATAGGATGCTTAACCCCATCCATATATGCTAAGCTTAGAGTTTAAATGTCCAAGCGTCAATGGCTAAACCCCAATTACCCAGTGGCCAAACTCTTGCCATTTACATAAAGACAAAGGTTGAACAGAAAGGGACGACCGATTAAGAGGAAAATGACAGTTTAAGGCCAAACATTTAAGAAGAAAAGAAAATTGATTGGATTTAAATACAAAAGCCAAATGTTGGAATGATGGAGTATCGAATGCCAATAAGTTAGATAACCTTGGTATTAAATAATGAGAGCTATTAGACCCACCTCACAATCCTATTTCCCCACCCCACCTTATTTTTCCACCCCATTCAAAAGGTAAAAATGAAAACACTATTTTCCCACCCATTGATATTCCTAAACTATCCCTTACAAAGAAAATTAATCACCACCACATATCCATCCACTCGACGGCAAGCAACCCCCTTCTCATCGTCAGCCAATTATGTCTCTAATTTGATCAAGACTATGAGGATGAGCAACATCCTCGGTCGACCTCGTAGTCGCTCTCTGCAATTACAACTCAAGTAGAGGACTAATCGTAGAAGAGGGGTATCAAAACCACGTCAAATGGGTATGAGAGAATCCAATTATCAAGGTTTCTTAAGGTAATTGTAATGGGCCTATGGTGTTTGATGAAGATTTCGAATGGATGGGAAGGAATTGGCATAAGAGATGAGGAAAACGGTGGATTCAACTTGGTTTGTGTTGTGTGCGGTGGTTTCAACTTGCTGGGCTCATGTTTTTGTTCCTTCTATTTTCAGAATTTAATACAAAAACAAAAGAATAAAATAGTTAAAGATGGCCTTATAAGTCATTTTGCAAAAGCTTAGAGTTGTCATTAAAAGTATCATTAAAAAGTGGGTGGAGAAATAATGTTGATGGGTGGGTATGTCATCTCCCTAAATAATAAAGACAATTAAAAACTCATTCATTTTTCTATCTTTTCTAGTGTTTTTCCAAACACTTGAACAAGAATGCTAGACTACACCGCTTCAGTTTTGGGGATTTGAAACTCGAAATGGTAACTGGTAACGGATAAAAAATTCCTGGAATAAAATTCCTGAGGCTACCACTAAAACGAATGCAAGATTGCAAGACGCACCCCTTTTTTACTAAATTTTTAAACAAATATATATTTTTTTTGTTGAACAATTTAGGAATAAGGAATACAATTTATAAAGCATGCCAAAAATTTTCAGCTTCCCCTACCATAAAAGCAATGTTATTAGACCAGTTGGGCAGATACTACCCCAATTGGAGCCTATGAATTACCAATTGCCTATTGACCAAAATTATTAACACAAAACCCATCATTCTTGCCCCTATAAAATGATGCCCCTTCTCATTTTGTAACACAAGAAGAGCAAAGATGACTTACTTAAAGTTGTTTGTGCTATTTCTTGTAGTGGTTATTCTTATCACAACTTCATCCAATGCCCAATACAATGAGGATGACAAGCTACAAGTCACTCCCATAAGACACGAAATTTACAAGCCATCAATGTTTATACCACCATTTCCCAAGCCATGGCTACCACCATTTTACAAGCCGCCATTTCTTCCTCCTTTTGTACTGAGACGACCACCACCTCCACCTCCGAAGAATCCGCCACCACCCCCACCGCAGAAGAATCTGCCACTACCGCCACCTCAGAAAAATCCTCCACCACCGCCACCTCAAAACAAACCACCGCAACCGCCCCCACCTCAGAAGAATCCGCCACCACCGCCACCTCAGAAAAATCCTCCACCGCCGCCACCTCAAAAGAATCCACCGCCACCACCCCCACCTCAGAAGAATCCGCCACCACCGCCACCTCAGAAAAATCCTCCCCCGCCGCCACCTCAAAAAAATCAACCACCAACACCAACTCCAACACCACCTAGAAAAGGTCTGCCACCAACATCAACACCAACTCTAACACCAGCTCCAACTCCAACGCCAACACCAACACCAACATCAACGCCAACACCAACACCAACACCAACGCCAACACCAACATCAACGCCAACACCAACGCCAACGCCAACGCCAACGCCAACGCCAACACCAACACCAACGCCACCACACCAACACCAACACCAACGCCAACGCCAACACCAACACCAACGCCAACGCCAACGCCAACGCCAACACGAACACCAACACCAACGCCAACGCCAACGCCAACACCACCAACGCCACCACCAACGCCACGGCCACCGCCAACGCCAACGCCAACACGAACGCCAACGCCAACGCCAACGCCAACGCCAACACCAACACCAACACCAACACCAACATCAACACGAACGCCAACACCAACACCAACACAACACCAAACACAACACCAAACGCCAACACCAACACCAACACAACACCAAACCAAACACCAACACCAACACCAACACGAACGCCAACACCAACACGAACGCCAACACCAACACCAACACCAACATCAACACGAACGCCAACACCAACGCCAACACCAACACCAACACCAACACCAACATCAACACGAACGCCAACACCAACACCAACACCAACACCAACACCAACACCCCCTGGAAAGAATCCACCACCAACTCCAACACCAACACTAGGTCAAAGCAACCCCCCTCCAGCACCTTTACCGAGTCAAAACAGTGCACCACGAACACCACCAACTCAGAACAATCCACCACCAACACCTACACCTGGTAAGCCCAACCCTTTTCCAGCACCTTCACCGGGTCAAATCAATCATTCGCAAGCACCACCTCAACATAATTCACCACTAGCACCATCACCGGGTAAAAACAATCATTCGCCTGCACCACCGCCTATGAATAATCCACCGTTAATATCGTCACCTCAAAATAATCCACCACTAGCCCCACCATCAGGACAAAACAATCCTCCACGAGCACCACCACCTCAGAACAATCCATCATTAGCCCCATCACCAGGACGAAATAATCCTCCACGAGCACCACCACCTTTGAACAATCTACCACCATCACCATCACCAAGTCATAGCAACCCTACTCCAGCACCTTCACCAGGTCGAAACAATCCTCAACGAGCACCACCATCACCATCACCAAGTCGGAACAATCCACCGCCACCAACATCATCAAGTCAGAACAATCCACCGCCACCCCAGCCAAACAATCGACCGCCACCACCTTTACCTAGTCAAAACAGTCATCCACCACCACCATCACGTGGTTGGAACAATCCCCCACAAGTTCCACTACCTCAGAACATCCATCCACCACCACCTCCACCAAATCTAAATAATCCTCCTCCACCACCTTTAGTAAGTCGAAACAATCCTCCCCCACCACCATCCCCAGGTCGAAACAATCTTCGACAATCTTCCTCCACCACCACCACCACCAAGTTTGAACAATTTGCGACCACCCCCACCAATTATCCATCAAAATTGAGTCAATATGAGCTAGATGATTCCTTGAAATAAGAGTTGTCAAAACTTAGTTGTCAACAGCTTCTAATATGATCGATTACCTATATAATACTATATATTATATAAATATAGTAATATATAACTGCTTTTGTAACTGCTTTAATGAAATTTGGTTTCCTCTTGCAACCTTTATTATGCAATATAAATTACCAACTATAATGAAGTAACATTTTGGTTAGTTATATAATTTGCCCACTTTATCATGAGAATAGATGACATACATTTCTTTTGCTTGTATCTTAGTAGACATGCTCCGCTTTGATTCCATGTGAACCATGCTTGATTCACCGAACTCGACCAATTAAAAGATGAAGAATACATAAAAACTACCACAATTGTCACAAAATCTCTTCCAAAAAAGTGCATCATGTGAAGTTTCTGATAGTCCAACATTAATAAGAATTTATCACGATAGTACAATTCAAATCATGAATGGAGTACAATTCAAACAACCATATCTATAGCACTCCCCCCGCAAACGAGGCACATGCGAAGTGAGGATTTTGAAAGTCAACAGCAAGAAGTGCGATTGTGATAGACTTCTGACTACTGCACCTCGGAAGAAGCAAACTGAACCTAATGCGTGTGAGCAACATGTTCTCGCACAAAGTGATAATCAAGAGCAATATGTTAAGTGCGACAGTAAATATACATATACATATATATATATATATATATGGGACAATTTGGATGCGGTCCCTAGTTATCAATATTCTTTGATTGAAACCTTGTTAGTTTTTAGTTTTTGATTGAAGTCCCTGACATTAATGTAATAATGTAAGTTACTATATTTTTTAAATTAAAAATTAAAAATTAAAAATTGAAATTTCTAATTGTTTATATTAATGAGATTTTAAATAAAACCCATAATTTATGGGATTAAAAATAATAAAATATAAATTATACTCTCTATTATATTGTGTGTGTGTACATATATGTATGGGTACATTAACCAAAATTAACAAAAAAAGTTATTGTACCAAAACATGGATACATTCTCAAATCAACGAAAAAAGAATGTACCCATATAAGTTTAAACATGGATTAAAAAATTTGAATGGATTTTATATTAAAAAAGGGTACATTTTACTTATAACAAATTGATATATTTGAGAATGGGTACATTGATGATTAAAAAAATTGAAAAATTATATGAATGGGTACATTGAAGATTAAAAAATTGAGAATCTTTTTATATATATAAAAAAAACTAATAGGTACAAACTTAATTTAATTTAATTTTTTTATTATTTTGAAAATGTTTGAATTGAAAATTAATTAGAAGTTTAATAGAAGTGTGAGTATTAAAACCCTAAATTAATTACTAATATTTATATTAAAAAATTATATATAATAAACATGTAAATTCATTATTACATTAATGCTAGGGACTTGAATCAAAATTTGAGAACTAATAAGGTCTTAGTCAATGAACAATAAGAACTAGGGACCGGATACTAATTTTTCCGGGACACTTTGGATGCGGTCCCTAGCTATCAATATCCTTTGATTGAAACCTTGTTAGTTTTTAGTTTTTGATTGAGGTCCCTGATATTAATGTAATAATGTAAGTTACTATATTTTTTTAATTAAAAATTAAAAATTGAAATTTGTAATTGTTTATATTAATGAGATTTTAAATAAAACCCATAATTATGGGATTAAAAATAATAAAATATAAATTATTCTCTCTATATATTGTGTGTGTGTGTGTACATATATGTATGGGTACATTAACCAAAATTAACAAAAAAAGTTATTGTACCAAAACATGGATACATTCTCAAATCAACGAAAAAGAATGTACCCATATAAGTTTAAACATGGATTAAAAAATTTGAATGGATTTTATATTAAAAAAGGGTACATTTTACTTATAACAAATTGATATATTTGAGAATGGGTACATTGATGATTAAAAAAATTGAAAAATTATATGAATGGGTACATTGAAGATTAAAAAATTGAGAATCTTTTTATATATATAAAAAAAAACTAATAGGTACAAACTTAATTTAATTTAATTTTTTTATTATTTTGAAAATGTTTGAATTGAAAATTAATTAGAAGTTTAATAGAAGTGTGAGTATTAAACCCTAAATTAATTACTAATATTTATATTAAAAAATTATATAATAAACATGTAAATTCATTATTACATTAATGCTAGGGACTTGAATCAAAATTTGAGAACTAATAAGGTCTTAGTCAATGAACAATAAGAACTAGGGACCGGATACTAATTTTTCCGGGACACTTTGGATGCGGTCCCTAGCTATCAATATCCTTTGATTGAAACCTTGTTAGTTTTTAGTTTTTGATTGAGGTCCCTGATATTAATGTAATAATGTAAGTTACTATATTTTTTTAATTAAAAATTAAAAATTGAAATTTGTAATTGTTTATATTAATGAGATTTTAAATAAAACCCATAATTATGGGATTAAAAATAATAAAATATAAATTATTCTCTCTATATATTGTGTGTGTGTGTACATATATGTATGGGTACATTAACCAAAATTAACAAAAAAAGTTATTGTACCAAAACATGGATACATTCTCAAATCAACGAAAAAGAATGTACCCATATAAGTTTAAACATGGATTAAAAAATTTGAATGGATTTTATATTAAAAAAGGGTACATTTTACATATAACAAATTGATATATTTGAGAATGGGTACATTTAAGATTAAAAAAATTGAAAAATTATATGAATGGGTACATTTAAGATTAAAAAATTGAGAATCTTTTTATATATAAAAAAAACTAATAGGTACAAACTTAATTTAATTTAATTTTTTATTATTTTGGAAATGTTTGAATTGAAAATTAATTAGAAGTTTAATAGAGGTGTGAGTATTAAACCCTAAATTAATTACTAATTTTTATATTAAAAAAATTATATAATAAACATGTAAATTCATTATCACATTAATGCTAGGGACTTGAATCAAAATTTGAGAACTAATAAGGTGTTAGTCAATGAATAGTAAAAACTAGGGACCGGATACTAATTTTTCCTAAAATAAAATAAAGTTATAGACAGAAATCAAATGTGAAAAAGCACTAAGGTTTAGCACCCACCATTAACAATCCTATGCAGTTCTACAAATTACTTATGAGTTAAAATATGCAACTTTAAAGGTTAAGTTTTATTAATGCTTATTCTCCTCGTGATGTTCAAGTAATTACGTACACCTAACATGTAATCCACCAATGATGTTTAGATTAAACATAAACATGCAAGACTTAATAAGCTTTATGAATTAGATACATGAACAATTAGTCTTAACGTTTCAAGAACTTTGCAGAGAGCATTACATGCCCAGGATGCCTACCGAATCAGCTTCCACTGGTCTTCCAAACTGCAGAGCTAATGCCTCGATAAAGCGCCTTGTAACATCGACCAAGGAGATTGCCTCCAAAACCTTAATAACAAAGCAAAATAGTCATTCGATTTCCCTAATCATTGTAGCACGATGCGTCATACTTAGGGTGCATTTGTTGTACCGGATTATCTCGAACTGGATTAACTTCTGGGACTAAGCTGGACTGACTTAAAATAGACTAAGCTAGACTAACTTAGTGAAACGTTTAATGATGTGTCGAACTAAGAAATGGGATAACAAAACCAATGAAAAATGGACCGTATACAATCATAATAAAAAAATTTCATACAAATTCTAACAACCTACAATCAAATCCTAAATTGAAAAATACGCAGGAGGAGAAATTGCAAATTAACTCATAATCCACTCCAAAAGTTCGTTTTCTATATAAAAAAAAACCAAAGATTTACTTGCCCAATTCAAATCAAACCAAACAATAAATCCACACTGTCGATAAATTTCCCCTAAATCAAAAAGATAAAAATATAAAAAATAAAAAATGGGGAAAAAATGGAAAGAAGCGAATCAGTCTATCAGACCTCTGCGTAATTGAGATCCTCCATCTCTGAATCAATCCTCTAGCCGCGAGCCCACCATCGTCTCCTCATCCAACCTCTCTTCTCTGATGACCCATCCTCATCCCCTCATCCAATTAACGTGAATGGCCATGCCGCCGGCAATGAAGAGCTTTCTATGGTAGACTCGGCTTCGCTCTCATCCTTTATGAAGTCAAAGAAGTGCGGAGCCAAAAACAAGTACATCTCGTCGACGATCGTCGCCATCGCTGTCGGTGGGGTGGTCTGGTGAGGTCGGCTGACCAGACCAGAACAAAGAAGCGAGGAGAACGACTGGACGAGGACACGAATGGTCTTAGTAATCTAGTGCTTATTGGGGGGTCTTGCTAAGACCTTTTAACAAAGGACTTAGTCGGGACGAGTCGGCTCTAATCTCATTAAATCTATTCCTTGTGTAACAAATACGATATTGGACTAATAGCTAGTCCATTCCAATCCAAGGAGATTTAGTGAAGGCAAACAAACACACCCTTTGTTGATGCACAAAATCAGTGGGGACTTTGGTACAACAGAAAGTGTCAAGTTTGTGACATTCGCTAGATTGCTCCGGTCACTTGTGTGGATAAGTATACAAATGGATAGAGACAGGGAAGCAAACACAAGATGTACGTGGTTCACCCAGATTGGCTACGTCCACGGAGTAGAGGAGTTCTCATTAATCGTGAAGGGTTTACACAAGTACATAGGTTGAAGCTCTCCTTTAGTGAGTACTAATGAATGATTTAGTACAAATGACATTAGAAAATATTGTGGGAGAATGATCTCCTTTTATAGAAGAGAGTTTCTAGCTTTGTTTTGACATTGACACGTGTCGTGTTGTGATTGGCTTCTGATGTTGACATGTGTCGCGCTATGATTGGCTTCTGATGTCAACACATGTCGTGCTGTGATTGGCCTCATGGTTGGAGGGAAACTCTTATGGGTCCTTAACGGTATAACGTTGACTAGTACTCAGTAGTTTCGGGATTGGTCAAGTATGGTACAAACACCCTTAATTTTCTATTCTTATAAAAAACAGTAGCGGTTGTCACCAAACTTTAGTAGAAAACTTATCGTTTTTTTATCAGAAACGTTAATTCTACGTATAAGACAAAATACAACTCCTACAAAAGTTTTCTACTAAACAGCAACAAGTGTTAAGAGTCCTCTCAAGGCT